GCCCGGGGCCGCTCCCCACCCGGGCCGGGCGCTCACCGGGAGCGGCCCCGGGGTGTCCCCGCCCCGGCACCCAACCGGTCCAAGGGCAGRGARGGAGGGAARAAGGGAGGAGGGAAGGAGGGAAAGAAGGGAGGGAGATAGGAAGGGATCCCGGGACCCACCTTGGCGCCGAACTTGTGGCTGTGCTGCACCAGCAGCGGCCCCTCCATGGCCGGCGGCTCCATCCCCGCGCACCGCGCGCTTCCGCCCGCGCCGCAGGGGCGGGGACGGGGCGGGCACGGACACGGGCACGGACACGGGGCGGGGACGGGGACACGCGTGTCAGGGGCGGGACGGGGCGGGATGAGTGCCTGTGTGCGCGTGAACGAGTGTGAAAATGCGCGTGCATGTGTGTGAACACGTGTGTGTGCATGTGTGTGTGTGCATACATGAGTGTAAACATGTGTGTGAACACCTGTGAGTGTGAACTTGTGCACACACGCGTGGCACGGGCGTGTGTTCTCGCCGAGGACGGGAAAATGCGCTCGGATGGGCTGAGGATAAGTGGGGGCCGTATGGAGAGTGGACAGGGGATCCATGAGGTTTCACAGGATGGGAAAAAAAGGTGATATCTGTGATAGGAGAAAAAAAAAAAAAAAAAAAAAAAAGGAGAACTAGAGGCTGCTTAGCTCAATCTCATAGTCCAAGAAAACTGTGGGATAAATAGCCAGATGCTCCCAGAGAGCACAGAAAAGAGAAGGAATCACAGCAAACACTTGTGTGTKCACACTGTCCAATTTCCTTCTCTGTCCGTTTTTGTGGACAGGGTAATGTCATCCATATTTCTCCATATCCAGCCATGCCATGTCCCCAGGCACCAAGGCCATTCCAGGGACACCAGGCTGGTCCCAGCACTGTCCCTGCCATGGCTGGCCACTCCAGTTTGCCCCAGCAGCCTTCTGCAGGGYCAGACTTGAGGCCAGCACTCCCAGCTGCTGCACCCTGTGCATGGATGACCCAAACTGGTGGCACTCTGATGGCACTGTGACCCTGCCTGGCCCCTCCTGGTCAGTCATTCTTGCGCTTCGTGCTGCTTTGATGGTCCAGGCACCGTAACTCAGCTTCCAGACATGACATCAACCTGCAAAGGGAAGAGGGAGAAGCCACGGATCCCGGTTTTCCAGGCCCCAATGCCCATTTTTCACCTGTGGGTTTGATGAAACAGCTGCTGGGAGGGGCTTGGCAGTGCCTGGATGCAGGGATGACCCTCGGCACTCTCCTGCTTCCATCCCTCACACTTGCATGGTAAAAAAGTTGTGCTGGTGTCCTGRTTTAGGAATGGTATTCCTCAATTTAGTGTTCCCATTGAAACATCCTAGATCACCCTCTCACTGCCCTTCCCTCCACCTGAGGCAGGATGGGGAGGATGGAGGCACAAAAGRTAAAGATCACACAGATTTTAAAAATAATTTACTAGAAACAGCAATGGGATGTAACCACAGCAATACCAATAACAGAGTGTACGAGACGRGTGAACGATCAGACCACAAACGCTGGCAAAACAATGACAGCGACCAACGCGAACAGCGGTCTGAAAAAGGACAAAATGATTCAGAGGTGTCAAAACCTCTGACCCGWGTGTAGGCAGGTCACGGTGATGTGCAGCTGCAGGACAGGGAGTTCATGACTGAGGAGTGGCAGCAGCTCTGAGCAGGGTGGCACAGGRCAAACAGCCTGACAGGTGAGTCACCTGCAAGGCACATGGAGCAGCCCGATGGCACCGAGCCGGAGAGGCATCGCACCCCGGGCTTGGCATGAGGGTGTGGCCAGGGCAGGGCCAGCTCAGCGGTGAACACACGGGGATAATGACAATCGAGCCCTCGGGGACAATCTTGGGGCTGTGGGATCCCGGGAAGCTTCAAACGCCGGAGAAGGAAGCGCCCCGGCGCTGCASCGGGAGAACGCCCGCAGCTGGGGACGCAGGGAAACCGGCTGCAGTGCCGGGGGCTCCGCTCCGCGGGGCTCCGGGACTGCGGCTCAAGAATCACCTCCCGCGGGCTCCGCACGGATTTCGGGAACCCCCGCCCCGCCCGCGCCCCGGCCCCACCCGCGGGGCCGCCCCCTGCGCTGCGGCGAGCGCGTTCCCGCGGCGGGGCGGGCGGTGGAGCCGCCCCTGCGCGAACCCCTGCGCGCACCCTCCATCCCCTCCGGCGAGCTCTCCACCTCCACATCCCCCCGCAAACATTCCACCCCTCTGAGCATCCTTCCATCCCCTCCCGCAAACACTTCATCCCTCCCCGCGCATCTTCCATCCCCTGCGCACCTTCCATCGCCGCCGCGCATCGTTCCGCGCACCCTCCCTCTGCACACCCTCCATCTCTCCACGCACTCCTCCATCTCTTCACGTACTCCTCCATCCCTCCGCGCACTCCTCCATCTCTCCGCGCACTCCTCCATCCCTCCGCGCACTCCTCCATCTCTCCGCGCACTCCTCCATCTCTCCACGCACTCCTCCATCTCTCCGCGCACTCCTCCATCTCTCCGCGCACTCCTCCATCCCTCCGCGCATCACTCCGTCCCCCCGCGCACCCTGCGCCTGCCCCCGCGCCGGCTGCGCCGCTCCTGCGCGGGGATGGCGGAGCGGCCGCGTTTCCTCTGCGGCGTGGTGGAAGGTAGGTCCCGCCGGGGCCGYGGCTGGGGCCGGTGCCCGACCCGCCCGGGCATTGCAGGGGCTGCTCCGATCCACCCGAAGTGAACCGGGGCTGTGGGGGAGGCGGGAATCGGGCCYTTGCACAGCGCCCCGTCTCTGCCAGGGGGCTGGAACCAGCACTTCTCGGGGTGCTCCCAGCTCTTCCCAGAGCCGCGTGGAGCCCTGAGCCCACCCCAGCAGAGCCGACCCCCCCCAGAGGGGCACAGGGAACCCACTGCTCGGCCTCCAGCGCTCTGCACGGGGTTTTGGCTGCCCTGGACCCTGGGGCAGCTTCGTGATGTGCTCCACCTGCCCACCTGACCCATGGGGCAACAGTGCAGGGGCCATGCCCAGAGCTGGCTCTGTGCTTCTCCCTCCCCACATCCCCAGTTCCCTCTGGAGCTGAGCCAGGCCTGGCACCCACCAGGCAAAATCATCTGCTCTTCTCCTGGCAGCACAGTACCCCTGAGGGCCACTGGCCACTGCCTCACCTGGGAGGAAGCAGGAGCACCGTGCAAATAAACCAAATAAACAGGAAATGCAGGGGTGGAGAAGCTGACATGAGTCAGAGCAGAATCATTGATATAGTAGAGCTGACCTGGGAAAGAGGACAGGGATGCTGCTGGCAAAGCCATTCCAGGAGAACATTTTTGGCAGGGTGTGTGCAGGACTCRGTGTCCTCCTTGCCAGCCCACGTCAGCTCACAGCAACATGTGCTGTGGAAGTGTCACTTGCTGATGCCATACAGAGACTCCTGGGACCTCGCTGTAATCTTGAAATAGCAAATTATTTACCACAGAAATAGCTTTTTTKGGGCGAAATGTTTGCTGGGATTCTTGATTGACCACAGATTTGGCCCCGTGCGCAGTGGGGGATGGATAGCAAGGTGACTATGAATTATTTCAAAGTGTATGGAATAATCATAATCATGTAGGTGTTCAGGCAGGTAGAAGATCAGTCTGCAGAGAGAAGGCAGATGGAGAGTGGGTGTTGCTGTGGTGAAACCACCTCCCCATTGCCCAGGGCTGGTGTTGGGGGCTGCAGGGTGGGCTCCTGCCAAAGGGAGCCAAGRGAATGAGGGCAGACGGGCTCCAGGGCACTCAAATGCTTTGGGAAAYGTGGGTGATTTTCTGGACAACGCTGGCTTCGTGCCAGACATGRAGAGCTGGTCCTTCCTCCCAGCTTAATGGAGTCAGTGCAGCCTGCCCCTGTGCACCGCCCAGTTTTGGGAATGCCGTCACTTTCCAAATATCTGCTCCCTTGGCTGCTGAAAGGTGCAGTGATGGATTCAAAACTCGCCCCTGATGCAGAGAGAAAGCAGGAAGATGCCTTGATGGCCAATTGCCATCACTGCCCAAGATGTAATGGATTTGCTGTGAGACTTCAGATTGCAGCTGCCAGATCCTGCAGAGAATAGAAATGCCTGAAGGTTCTTCTCTTGCTAAATCTCAGGTCTGTGCTGGGACACTGACAGGTTCCCCTTTCAAACTCCACTTTGAGAAGCTGTCAAATCTGCCTCTCTCCAAACCCATTTATCTGCCTGTCCCCAATCTGTTCCACTGGATATCCTTTCTCACTGCATTTGCAGACAGCTCTGCACCTCCCAGCCTTCCTGCATACAGAAATAGGAAATGYCCTTCCTTGGAAGTGGCCCCAACAGCTGAATGGGTGCTGCATGTCCTGCAGTGCATCTCTGCATTCAGGGATGGCMCAGAGAGAGACTGTTTTAAGGCACTCACAACTGCATTTTGCCTTTTTTTCCTCCCTTTCCCAGGTTTCTATGGGAGACCATGGTCAATGGATCAGAGGAAACTTCTCTTTCAATGGCAAGTACCCTGAATTTTCCTCTCTGAATTGGCAGTGAAGGGGATTCGTGCTTCTTCTGGGGCTGCTCCTGCAGTGTCCCTCTGTCCCAGCGTTCTCACGGCCCCGGGAAGGAGCCGCGCTGGGCCGGTCCGTGGGTGCTGCGGGACGGACGGACGGACGGACAGTGCCGGCAGGTGGTGCTGGGGCTCCGCACATCCCGGTGCAGCCCCGGTGSGTGCGAGGACGCCAAGCGGGCACTTCCAGCCAGCCCGGGCTCTCTAGAACTGGGCTGAACCCTGAGCATCACTCTATCCCGAGCACAAGTGACTGCTGTGTCCTGAGACTGCCATCCCTGCCTGGTGTGGGTGGCCCTGCCGTGTCCCTGTGAGTCCCCACGCGTGTCTGTGCGTCACCGTGTGTCCCGGTGACGGAAGGATGTGCGCAGGATCCGTCACCGGGATGGGAGCTGATCCATGCAGCTCCTCTCCGAGCAGCTGGTGCCCATGCACAGGCCGTGAGTGGGATGAGCTG